ATACACTGGGGTTCATAAAATGCTAGATGGGAATTAGTGTTCAAGTTGTTTTTTTCAGCAATTTGGGTCCTTTGTGCATAAAGTATATGTCCATAACATGGAGTCATACCTTCAAGAAACATTTAACCACGATCTGTGTTGAGGCACTTTGAAGAGACTGGGGGAAATGTGGTGTAAAACGTTGTTTCCTCCCTCATAGGACTCAGGAGACCAAATCTACTTCACGCCACATTCTTTCAATACGAATTTGATACAAATCATTGTTGTAACATTTTGTTTGTATACAAATTCCTCATGTATCATATTTACAAAGTTTACAGTATTCTCCTTTTTAACGCATACTTAATATTTTTGTGAACCTCTAATTCAGGTTCAACGTGTGGCTAGCTGTCGTTGACACTTGTAGCTGATGTGTGCTCTGTGAGGGGACGTGGAGTGTCATAGAAGTGACACTGGCTCAGGACAGAGCCTGGTCCACTCCTTGTCACTGTGCAGTGGGGCAGAGCTGAGGAAGTCCCTTTGCCACTCAGGTCCACAGCTGGAGTGAGGAATAATATGGATTTCTAAATGTCTTTTATTTCTTTGCTTTCATTTTGGATTGGGTGGTGAAACGATAGGCTTAGAAAAGGAAAACTATCACTGTGAACGGTGATTATGGAAGTTGAAAATTACATGGAGTAGCATATTCTTTGTAGGAGGGATGTTATCCTTTTGTGAACTCTCTTAGAATAGGATATGGGGAGGGGAATCTTACCACTCATTCATCCATTCTACCAACGTTTACCGATCACCTTTTACATGTCAGGCACTTGTCTAGGTGTTGGGACTCAAGACGACTAATACACACTCTCTGTCTTCAAAGACCTCATGGTGCAAAGGGGAAGACAGAGAAAGATAAAGACCGGATGATTAAATCGTTGATACGTGAAATGCATTGTGAGGATATGAATAGAACGTGGAGGAGAAAACACTTTACCTAGAAAGGTGGAGTGGCGGTGGGCAGAGTAGGCTTCCTGGAGCAGGTAATGTCTAAAGTGAACTTGATGGAGTCAGTTGGTATTAGCCACAGAAGAAAATGTGGACATGCAATAGCATTTGCAAAGTCATGGATGGAAGAAACAATACTGCATGTGGAGAAACATAAGCAGCATGGTAAGGAAGAATTTTGCATGGTTGTTTTTGCTTGTTTTCATTTCAAATCATATATTACTGGGATTACACAATAATAAAACCTCTTCTGCTTCTAAGTAAAGAGAACGTGGAACTTTGCAACTCTAAAAGTGATATATACCTCCAGGAACTCAAAACGGCCATATGGATGCTGACCAGGGCTAAGCTTTCCATAGGCTATAGACAAAGTGGTAAAGAGAACGTGGAACTTTGCAACTCTAAAAGTGATATATACCTCCAGGAACTCAAAACGGGCGTATGGATGCTGACCAGGGCTAAGCTTTCCATAGGCTATAGACAAAGTGTTGTTTCAAAAACCTCTGCATGTTATTTTCAGGTCTCCAGAATAAAGATAAGTAGAAATATTCTGGACATATATATTTATACATAAAAAATGCAGCAGGCCTGTTTATCTATGCATTAAACACAAAGCTGGGAAATGGCTGCAAAGGTGGTATTCCTTCCTAAACCTCTCCTGGACGTCATGCTTGCATTAGTCTGTTCCCGTTGCTTACAGTGTCTGAGGCTGGGAAGTCCAAAGTCCAGAGGTCTCACATTGCAAGATGGTGGAAGCAGAGAGAGCAGAGAGAGAGAGACAGACAGACTCCCCTCTCTCTTCTTTTAATGCCCTCAGTTCCATGCCCCTGACCACCATTATTAATCCATTCACTACTGCACGGTCCTACAATCCAATCACCTCTTCAAGGCCCCACCTTTCAATTACCATAATAGGATCTCCCACCTTCTTAACAGTTACAGTGGGGGCTAAGTTTCTGATACATAACATGTGGGGGACACTGTTCAAGCTTCAGTGAGTTTTGGGGGGGACATAATTCAATCCCCTCAATGCTCCATTTTAAATTTGAATCATGCTTCTCAACATGACTCTGTAATAGCACATTTCTCTTTCAATCTTCTGGTTCCATTGAGATTCTGGATGTTTTCCCTTTTTCTCTGTCTCTATCTACCTATCTCCTCAGGGAGTTAAGGTCTCACTGTCATAGATGCAGAATAGATGAATGAATATGTGAGTTTAGGTATGCATTTAACAATAAAAATTTTATAATGTTTCAACTTAAAACCATAAATATGTTGGGATGACTGAGCAATTATAAAACCACTATAGCATCTGCTATGTGATGCTGACCAGTGGTCAAGTCTGATTAAATAGATTTTCAGAGCTGAACTGAGAACATGAAGGTTCTTCAAAACGTTCAAAACGTTCATGGAAAGATTCGTAGTATCTTTTATTTCTGTTTTTCCGTGAACGTTTTGAAGTACCCTCATACACCTGTGACAAAAACTAGGCTAGGTAAGAAAGATTTTTATTCCTTGCATTAAACTTAGTTTCAAATTAGGCCTCTGTATTTCCTACTGCTCAGGAAAAAAAAAGAAAAGGGGAAAAAGGAAGAAAACTTTTTTAAAAACTTGCTCTGAAAACAATTTTAAGTCATTTTCACATTTAAAAAAATGTATATTCCTGGAACCAATATTTGACTGTCTTCAAAAAATGGAAGTTTTCTAGTGGCTGCTCACGTATGTTCCTCGAATAGATACTCAACTGTGAAAAATGAACAGGGTGTCTGGAGATGGTACTTAAGTTTTGGGTATCTGGGATCCTATACTGGTCAAGGAAAACTACATACGTATTTGAAAAACTGAGTTCCCCTCTCCTTTTATAAAAGAAAGACTGTGCCTCAAGATAATTTAGAATATAAGGATGAACATGACATTGTGCTCTTGAGAGTGTTCGTTCCTTCCTCCACTCAGAGCTGTTTTAGAGAAACTTCCTTTAAGATCTGGATGAAATCTATCTCCTCAAATGTATTTAAATCAATGGCAGCTGTAAAAGGAACAATTATGAAAAAACACAAGTTAGATTCAACACTTGAAGTCATTTTTAAAATGCATG